AGCGCATTCGCATATGTCTTCTGTGCCGTTTCGGAATGGAATGCACGTGCCACCATTGTGACACAGATCGGCTGTGCAGTTTGCTGCAAAGAAGCTACCGTTAACACTAGGAATCAGCTGTTCATGAGACCGCCGTTGAAAACAAAATTTAGGGGAAAAAGAGTGAGAGAAACGAGCAACACTACTAAGAAACCAGTAGTGAGAATGAATGTCTATTCTTAACAACTACCGCTGCCTTAGCACTTCCCAGTAAGTTGCATCTACGAAGCGTTATTTGGCTATTCAAGCGATTATCTTCAGTTCTTCGACATGTTGTGTAACGATGCTGCCCTAACAGCGCACGCCATCGTTGTGATAATCACAACAGAGGGGTCTTATTTGACTTCGAAGGAGGGGGTCGTAAGCGCAAGGCCCTTTCTGAAGTGAGGGTGCAGCGATACCCAGATGTCGTTCAGCTTCAATGATGAAAGACTTATCCATGTGAAGAACCCCTGAAGAGACACACACAAGACAGAAGCAACCTGCCAGCGCAGAAGTGGGGAACGGGCGATGACAGGAAATACGATGGCCGCCCACAACGACGTCATGAATTAATAAACAGATGAAAATACACTTCCGGACCTTTCTGATCGCAGAGCACATCTACTTGCACGGAGGAAGCCCTTCTAGAAGGCACCTTCCCAATACCTCTGCGTGAGAGCCCTATGCATGGCGCATTACAGAGGTGATGCCAATCGGCGCCGAATGAACTATTTCCTGATACCCTTGGCGAAAACATGTGTTTTAGAAGCATACCAAAGTCTTCAAACGAACTGGAAGTGGTATGGCGTCGGAGGGGTGGGTTTTTCGTGTCGTCCGAAAGGGGTTGCGTGAAGATCACAACGGGAGATTTTTTCGAATAGCAGGCCTAGGGTCTAAAATGGAAGAACTGCTAGAAAGTAGAAACCTTCTCAATTCCGGCGTTGTCTTCTTTTTTACGAATGGCCTCGTATGAAGGTTGTTATGACTGTTCAAAGCGTGAGGATGTAAATGACCCCCAAAAATCACAACGGAATCACAACGGAAAAAGTCCTTTGAAAAGAGGTTTTTTAAATCGCTCAAACTCAGGTAATAAGTGTCAACCTAGTGCTCCATAGCCCTGCTTTCCCCTCTTCAAAAGCTCCACTCCTAAAGAGTTATGGATGTACAAGCGTACTTTCGGAGTGCTTGGCTTGAGACCGTGGAATAGCTCGTTCCGATACCACAGCACAAAGCACGTTCACCTCTAAATGACAGCGAACAATAAATATTCAGGTGCTAACACTTTCATTTTCCCGCATTTCTTTCTTTCCTTGTGTCTTTCAATGCTCATTCATAATTTGTTACTTTTGTTAACTTATTTATGATTTACTACGGCTCGGTGTTTGATTGTCCGCTGCTAATCTGGTCCGCTGCTACCAGATTAGCAGCGGACAAGAGGGGGGGGGTCGTATCGAGATCCTCTTTAGAGGGGGTTCAGCAGAAACTTATCACAACGCGATGGGGTGCTCTGGGCCCTAGGCTCCTTTCTGGAGCTACCCAGGAAACGAACTAGGTACGGGGTAGGTATACACCATGTACAGCTTTCAGACTTACATCGATTCCATTGCCATATACAATGTGCTTTGCTTCAACTCCCCATAATGAAGGTTTACTAAACCAGCTGTGCGGATTGCACCACCTTGGAAGTCGCAGAAATCATCTCGCCTGTTGCAGCGTGGGGAAATATAGGTGAAATATGCGACCAAAGTCTACATTATGTGGGAGACATTAAGCAATTGAAAAGGCAATAGAGGGTTTCATTTGTCGACTGTCTAAGAGAAATGAACTTCTAACGGGTACAACCTTTAGTCGAGGTCAGCGTTTAGCCCGAGAGCCGCAAAGGTAAAAGAAAAAAAAACACCCTCGGGCATTTTGGATCCAGGTCAGCATTCCAAAAAACAGAAGGGAAGAATGCATCGCAATAAAGCGCGTACTTTCATTCTCATAGGCCTTCCAATAGTGATCCTGAAGTTACAACTGAAGTTGAAACAAGGGGTCGATAGGATTTCACGCTGCCCTCTGCTTGTTTATGCTGCTCCTTCCAAGTAAATGTTATAAATTTAAATAAAATATAGAAGAATAGTAATTAATAACATGTAGTGGTCCAAATAAATACTGCGTTATGTGATTCTTTTTTTTCACGGAAACTGTTTTGGTCCCCCGATCAGTTCCGTCTGTAAGCGTAAGCTATAACGGCAGCGCGATTACGCGCAACTCGCGTGTCAATTGCCGGAGCAAATACCACTCACGTCTGACATCAGACATATTATGGCGCATTCCGACAACAATACCGATTCAATTTCGGCGTGGAAGGAACGCATAGAGAAGGTGAAGTGTCTCAAGCAGTGGTCAGCTCCAAAGCACGTACTCGAGGTCTTTTCAAAGTAAGACGCCCTCAATAAATTAGCCGGTTCACCTGCACTGCTGAGAAATTTCTCTCTTCTATTGGTCACAGTAGCCGAAAAGCTAAGCGTAGAGGATTATAGTAATTACAGACGGGTTGAATTCCAGTTTAGCGTAGCAACTGGAAGCTCTTCGTTCTAGAACGATTTCCGAAATCCCTGCGGGTACTCTCGCGTCAACTGACCAGTCCGACCTCATCCGGCGTTTTTCCATGCGATGTTACGAGCGCGCCAGATCATAACGCGAACCGCTCGCCAAGAGACTACTCAAAGACACCGCGTCAGCATTTACGACGTGCATGCATGACATATGACATTTGATAGTAAGAATACGCGCTCATAGGTCATCTCTATGGCTATGGACTCGCGACAAATTGAGTCCTCTGGGAAAAATCAGGGAAAAAGTAGCTCGGCACTGTGCTGAGAAAACAATAATGTCTAGAAGCCGCTTGGACAGTTTGTCATCTGCAATGAGACTGAGACTCACTAAAATCTATAATACCTGCGGAAAGCGGTGTATTCACTGACTTTATAGCTGTTTGCGCCCAACACACTAGCACACTAGTAAAACCCCAGAGAGCAATGTGAAGCAGTTTTAGCAGTGAAGAAGACGGCAGTGGAAACAAACGCTAGATCTGTTTCAGAAGTTCGTATGAAAAGAATGCTGAGGAGAAATAGTCAAAAATTGGCTTGAAAAATTGCTTATTTATGGATCAGCCGATCGGTGTGAAAAACGTCGCAAAGTCATAGTTCAGTACTAAGACCTGATAGGAAGGACATTATGTACGAATGGACCAGTGAAGGGGAGCAATCTGCCAGCGTTCAAAGGAGTACTGGTGCTAGCATGCAGTCCTTGCATTTCAGGCACTATGAACGCTGATTCAGGGAAGATATTGGTGAATGGAAAGACCAGTGAAAGGGACCAGTCTGCCAGCGTTTCAAAAGTAATGCCGTGCTAGAATGCAGTCACCGCATTCCCCTAAGCCACGAACACCTCTAATTAAGTTTGTTTACTCTTTGCTTTTGTTTTTGTTTTTGTAAATATCGTAGTGTGAGGAAAGCTGCAACTAATCGAAGAACGCGGCAAAAAAGTGTTAAGGGAAAAGGCAAAAGGGGGTCACTTTTCGTTTCTGCAGTTGTGAACAGACTCTTACAAAACTGAAGTTGATGAAAGGCAAACTGTCCCGATTAGGTTCAAAACAGCCTATTAGCCTTATTTATAGAGCAAAAAACACGACATGCGAAATCAAATCCTGGTGGGGCCTGGTAAAGAATCCTAGGGTTTACAACCCTTCAATCAACAGATCTTACAAGCTTCCGTACACGAAACTCGATAAAGAGAAACGAATTCAAGAGGAATTATGAGGCTTATATTTAGCCTTTTACAGCGAATTGTGGTTTTTGATATTTGAACAACAAATTCCTTGGATGACTATTCTGCTGGCCGCTAAACTACTGAGCCGCCAGAAGATGGTTCTTATCTTTTTTTCTTCTCGTTGAAATAATTTGAGTTTTCATAGTGACTTAACATTTTATAATTTCTGCAAGTCGCGTATAAGTTTTGAATGGACTTCGTCGAAATACCACAGAAGTGTCATGTTGAGGTGACATCCCCCTCTTCTGTGGGTCAAATCTGATTCATGGTGATCCCTAGGCCGAGCCTGAACGCGGAGACAAACACAGGCGCTCGAATATGCAGCGATAATTGTCTGCCCATCGACGGTCAACGAGACGTCCTGCTTATGAATGATAGATGATCACCTACAAAGTACCCTAACACCCATTGTTACCATAATCCCAAGAGCGCGAGTAATGGGTCAACAAACATCGTTAACAGGTGTCCAGGTGTGCTTATATGGATACTTATGGGTGGATGTTGATTTATGAGGGAATGCTGGATTATAGAAAGGCTTTTTGGTACAGAGGTAGAGCTGTACACTGCGTCTGAAAACCATAGAATGGCAAATCAAACACAAAATAAATCAGCAGATTCTCTAATTTCCCTGCCTTTTCGGAAACAGTCAAAGGCTGAACCACCAACTGAGGATAAGGATGGCTAATATTTCCCCAGTGCGGGGGTTCAGCCATACTGGGGGATATAGCCATAAGACCGGTGGTGGGCGGGTAAGTGAGAAGTTGTTGTCAGAGATAAATGACTTGAAAAAGCTGCAGAATGATCTCTTTCAAGCAGTGCTTCGTCAGAGTCTCACTACAGCTGAAGAACAAGTGCGAAGTGACAAGACTCGAACTTCATACTTTTTAGTGACTTTAGACGTTCCTAGCACATCTTGTCGACAAGCCAGGGAACCCCCAGGCATCAACACATCAGCCTACCTTCACTTCCTTTGAGAGCTTGTAGTGTTACCTGCCACTTTTCAGAAGGCTTACTCTCAGCCGTCCACAGAAATGTCCGAATCGGTTCACAATATTTGATTATTATGAACTCTCATCCCGCTTACTCTCACTTATCTAATCAATTCACTTTCTTGTTTTTTAATCACTGCCATCTTTTCCTCTAACTTTTTTTCTCATCTTGTTTCATTCCGTTTGGAAGCCTTTGCATTTAAGATCTATGGGCATATGCATGAAGACTTCAAAGCCTTGAAGTATAACATTCATGCGGCAAACTTTTCAAAGTAAAGCAGAAACTCTTCATTGCAAACTTTTCAAAGTGAAAGCAGAAACTCATGTCCCTATCTCGGCTTGATTACTGTAATTTCGTTCTCACCTCTTTGGCATCCATCCATTCCTGGGACATGCATCCATCCTGCACAACACTCGGCCACCGTATGCCGCCTCGTCCGGTTTACTTTCTTGTATGTGTGAAAGTAGACAGTCCTTGAAAAATTAAAGAGTTTAAAAAGTAACTAGTGAAAAACTTTTCTTGAATCTTTCATCGCTTGAAACCGATTGAAACTGGCCCGGAAGCAAACCATCTTGGGAGTCATAAAGCGCTACCATTCATTATTTCACGTCGCTCCGCAAGGAAATTTCAATTTATTCACTTCCCAGAATTAAGTGGGCCCTGTGGGAGGTGTTCGTATCGTGAACATCCTACTCGTAGTAGCTGCATGAGTAAAGGGTGCAAATGACAGCGCTAATCGGCTCCATATACTTTTCCAGCGATCAGAGACCATTGATCAAAACTCTGCTATCCCAATGATGAAGTTATGACAGGGGATATTTATGATATGCGTTCTTTTCTATTTTGATCCTACTTTCAGGAATAACTAAGCATTTGTATTCGTCGGAATAGCTGGTGGTTTTCGGTGGAGCGGGAACTTTTCAGCCGATATTGATAGTGGATTCCATAGCCAATGGTCCCTGTAATTCTCTGCCAAACCCATGAAAAAGCCTCAAAGCGATCAGTCAGTTCGGTCCTTCTCGTTCAGTCCGGAATTTCTGTCGTTCTGTCGGTTGCCAATTTGATACACCACGGGCAATCCTCAGTGACTGATCGCTTCTACTGTCTCTATTTGTCCAAAAGGAAAAAAAAATGCAGCTCATCTCTTTGTGATGTGAATCGAAATGGATGGATGGCATTTCTTCGCAATGGCCATAAATATCCGTCGTAGGCCGAACCATACAGTTCCCGGTTTTTTTTAGATGGGATAAGGTCATCCCTGCGACGCCGGCCTGTTCTCACGCATCACTGGAGGAGCTCATCTCTGGGGCACTAGGTTAATTATAAGGTGCAAGCCTGTGACGTAAGGTTTCTTTGACGTCAAAGGTCATCCATAATATTTGCTCAAAGGTAGCAGTAATTGCAGAGGTTGAAAAGTTGAAAACGGCTAGTTAATGGTGATGGATGGTTTCGGGCATGCCAACTGAACAGTACAGGCCAGGCATTCTTACGGTCAGTACACCTCACTTCTTGGATTCAATGCATTATATGCTACTGCGAGCACCGTGACAGTAAACCCGTTAGGTGTCTTAGAAATCGAAAAGCTCACTTTGGTTCTCGGACTGAGCAGCTTCTGAATTGTCCATTACATCCCGGTTTCCGCGTCCGAACATATTTCGTATATCGTTCAACGCATGGTTGCTTCACGGTCACGATTTCCACTTCCTCATGAGGGCAGACATTTCTTCTAAAAGAAAATCAGATTTCGGCAAAAACTCAGGTCACATAGTAGGGGTTCAGGGAAATTCCAGGAACAAGTGAATGTGGAACAAATAGAAGAAGGAACAAGCAAATCCTCAGCTCCATTGACTGTTATTTTAGAAAACTCTTTTGTTTTACTCTTCTGAAAAATAAGAGCTTTGCTGATCAATTCTTCTATGGAATGGGCCAATTGGTCCATTGCGTAACCCGGGACTTCTCGAAGCGAACTGGCCTATGCAATGATTTGCGAGTAGGCTCAGTTAAGAATAAGTGTTTTATCGCCCAGACGAATACGGTTCCAATTTGCCAGCCTCGGTTTGACTGGCGCTGGTGGGAGTCGAATCGTAGATTTGACTAAATCACGCACTAATTCAGTAAGCTGTAGACCTTATTATACCTCACTTTTACTTTTCTGCTCTATAGCACGCAAATTTTGTTGGTGCAGAAAAGCTACTGACGTTTCGACATGGTGGCAATGTCACCCAAAAACATGCTTTTTGCCATTGAGAATGTGGAGCGGTACCGCTTGAGTAGCACCTATACATCCCCTATTTTATCCCTGGTAGATACAGGGAGGAGAGTGACCTCAACAGAATGTAGTCGTAATCTCGCTAAACCCTTCACTGTTATTTTATTCTCAGCTTAGCCTGTGCATATACAGTGGGCCTTGCGTAATGGTATTTGACTGATAAGTTATCAGCGACTTGCAGAGGTCATTATGCGCATGAAGGAGCCCGCAGTGGCCATCAGTCTTCTAACGGAACCCATTAAACTTAATGTGATGCTCCCGTCAACATAGCACACCGCTACCACAACAAGATAACCATGGGAGAATAGACAAATTTTAAGAGTAACAACTTCAGCGGTAATTCTATGAATGAGAAGGAAAATAAAAGAAAATAAGCAATAAAATTTTTGAAACTGTAGTGCTTGCTAGAAAATTCCTTGTAACATATTAAATTATTATATTGAAATACTTTGATTTGATGAACCTCTTCACAATGCTCCACGTGATCGGCTTCACTTAGTACCTCAGCAAAAATAGAAAGCTAATAAATGCCAGCGTAGTTCTCATTTGGATTGCAAAACTGGTGAAGGGAACAGGAGGCCCAATATAGAGCGAACTCTAAGATAGGTATTTCAGCGACCACTTTCTGATTTTAAAAACACTCATGACAGAAAATTATATTATTTGAACCTATATTACCTGAACTTATCTCCCACTGCTTACTCTTTAGTGGGGAAAACGAAATTTCGAACAATTCTTTCTAAAGTTTCTTGCAAGATTTCGGCCATTGTAACTGAGGATGTCTCGCAATAATACTGTATATGAATACTCTCTCACATAGTTCTCGCTAACTTTTGGTCTCGGCACGTTCATTAGCCAAAGGCCTCCCTCACTGCCTTGTCTTATTCTGTGCGGCATCTTTGACAAAAGGTAGTCGACCGAGGCATACTAGTCTAGCTCGCTCACTCTCCAGTGAGCTCGATGTGGTGCGGTTCATTGACTCCGACCTTTTATCTTCGATAATGGCCACTAACACCTCTCGTTGAGAGAACTACTCGTCCATTGCGCAAATCCCACACGATTCTCTTAAGGGTCACTCCGAGGTGACACATCGATGAGATAAGGTCTCCAGAGCACCTGGAAGTCTATGGGCAAGAATCGCTTTGTCGTTCGAAAAAAGTAAGGAAGGGCCCGCACTGATTAGTTCAAACGTGCCTGAATAGTTTTCCCTAAGCAGTTCGTTTAGTGGAAAGTAAGATTTTAAAGGCACTTTCCGCGATAAAATAAGGCTATGACCTTTCAAATGTGTCAGACGATCCGGAAGGAGATTGCGGAGGCTGCGCTACCTTTAGAAAGTGAAAATCGGCAAGAATTCCGCTTTAAGCTAACCAATTAGGCCCATGGGCGCCCCTTAGGCCCATGCCGACCCCCACCGGCTGCTAGCTACTAGCTAGTAGCCACTATGCTATCTCTCTCCATTCCGAATGGTGAGAGTGAGGTGATACGATAAAAGAGCTGATATCTTTATGATAACGACGAGTGGAAATTCGTACAAACATGCGTTTTCTTCATTGCATGCATGTACAAGTTGGGGTCGATATGGAATCCTATTTAGGGCATTTTCGGCTGTTTTTCTGCTGCTTTTCTCCGCTAATCAGATACCTAGCCCTTTTTCGTTCCTATGTGGGTTCCGTTACCCACAATCTGTGGTCGCGGGCTTTGCCTTTAAGCGAAGGGTTCATAGAATCCGCCATGTGTAGCATTAACCGAACCTCGGAATCGAATCAGTGTTATCGAACTGACTTTTTGAGAGTTGATAAGATCGAATGAGTTCAACTGCCTAACCCAGTCTCTCTGCCATCCTAATGATGTTCGAAGTCTTAACAGGGTCAACTTCTCTATGTCACATAACAATTAGTTCCACACTGAAAACGCTCCAGTCAGTCTTTTAGTTATCTTCCCTCTGCATCGCAATCTTTTTTATGGGTACTCACGAAAGAAACTCGAAATAGGATCGTAACAAAACCAGAATACGTTCAAGGCATCCCCTAAAAGTGTGGCAATTGTTTGCGCTTCAGCGGTGAACATATTCCGATTCGACTGTTGATCTAAGCGGCCGTAAATGAGTCAAACATTGCCGTGATAACTGTGATATATTGTCTTAGCAACATCATATGCAATCACAGTCTTCAAAAGTAGTCTACTTTGAGGTAGCGCCTACATCTAACGCAGACGTGAACAATCATGGAACTCTTCCCACTGAAACCCGAGTTCTCAGTACTAGAATCAGCAACTCCTCACGGAAAGTTTCGCAAGCACTCAGTGAAATCCATGTGAGTAATGCCTTGGACTTAGCGGCGTCTAAGACCTCAAAAGAATGAAAAATCCTGCCGCGGTTCCCGAAGAGGAAATGCAGTTAACAATGATAAACTGCGTTCGGTGGTTCTCCCATGAGATGTTCCCACAAGATAATCCTGTTCCAAAAATAAGAAAAGAGAATATTCAAATCATCGTACCCTAACAAAGTCTTAAAATCGATAAAAAAAGAAATAAGAAGTCGGTAAAAATGCGTTCATCTCACAAGTCATCTAAATGCTTAACCTGCGGAACAATCGTGCCATGTTGGGGTGCAACGCATCATATTTTGGGTCGGAACCTATTCCCTTCACTTTTCAAAGAAGCTTTGCTGGATATGTTGCGAGCTCACCAAAGCCTACAGTTCTTCCTACCGGGTCAATTAGAAACAAAGAAAGACAAATATTGGGGAAAGGAATACACTCCAAAGCACAGATGATCCGTTTCGCCCGTTAAACCTGGGGCGACACTGAATAGTTGTATCGTTAAGGTCGCTCCGGAGATGTCAGCGTACCCCTGCCAGAAAAATAGCTGCTCCTTCTCAGAGGGAACAACTCTCAACGGCAACCGCACGCCGCCAGATCCGTGCTCCACCAAGTGCTGAGTCCGATAAAGGAGACCAACAACGGGAGAAGCTAAACGGCGAAACGTGACTCTGAATTGGTTCCTTCTTTCTGCCGTAGGCTTCGGTCCAACACCTACATCGCGGAAGTACCAGAAGATGACCAAAGCAAAGTCTCAAAGGAGCGATGTTCTGGTCTGGCTTTGCACATCACTTGCACATTCCCTGCCCTTGATGTGATCCCTGCTACACTTGCCACATTCCAAGGGAATGTCTTAAGAGTTTTCCGTGTTCAACGTGCCTAAATTATTTCTGAAAAGTACGATTTCGTGACCTTACCCCTGTCACTTGCAAGGGAAACTAAAGCTCGCGCAATGAAAAGTCTTGTGAGGGGAAGGTTCTTTGATTAAAATGCAATGAATCATACACCAAACGAGGGTTGTCGTTGGTTTTTTGTAAAGGTGCAAGTGCTTTTATGTTCTGGTTGCTGTTCTATAAATACCAGCGAGTTGGCTTTGCGCCACATAAAATCTTCAAGAAAGCTCGTAGTACTTTGGTGATAACGACTTCTCATCCATCATAGTCGTTCTGGTCAAAGAAAAGAGCGGTGCTTCATTCGCACTTCGGCTTAGAGCGATATTCCTTCCATGGAAATATATAACTCCGACTGCAGAGGGAATTCGAGGAATGATTTTTAAAAGAGAAAAACGACGTGAGTTATTGTTAGTACAACTCCAACTTCAATGCAGTAACTTCTTGGAGTGTGATTCTTCTGAGGAACCTTTGTGTCAGCAAAACAAATAAGGATAAAGTCTTCGCCGTTGATCAATCCCTTTGTGGGATGCGGCACGCATTCTACTTCCATTCAGAATCGTAGTGGCTTATTGAATGCGATGTGGCCTATACAATGACTTGCGGTGGCCAGCCGATGTACAAGTCAGTGTTTTATCCTCCCAGACGAATCTGGTACCAATTTACCGTCCCCGGAGGTAGAAGGCTTGGTTGGCCTGGGCGGGAGTCGACCCGGGATTTGAACCCGCGCCGCGCCAGTGGTAAACTTGCCACTTGTCACTACACCACCTCTGCCTCCAGCAAAACAAATACTGAGTGAAAATGGTTATAGCATAACCTTCATACTACTTTGCAGTAAAGCTTAGGTCACTGCAATCAGGGCTATTCCAGTCACGGTTCGAACATGTTCCTCTTTTGTCAAGTTGCCATCAAATGCCGCGATAGATGAAGGTTCCGGCAGGATTGTTGAAATCCAGATAAGGGATGGGAACATTGGGCGGAATCTTCTATCTGTGGAGTGAAAAAAGGAATCTCTATGGAAAATGATGGGCACTTGCACCTGCTTCTCCATTACTTGCTCTTCCCTTTACCTAGCATTGTTCGGCCAAAATGCCGCCTATGCCACATCCTGCGTCTACGGTTGCGTCGCCATACGATGGCACCATAAGGCGTAAGCCGAGCCCAATCCATCATTACGCACTGCTCGCATGCGATCGAGACGGGAACTGCAAGAGAAGTAACGAACTCAGTAAAAGCTATATAGCAGCC